CCGCAATACAGGCATCATCAACTACAGAGACATGGTAACTTTTATGTGAAATTTAGGTTTCGAGTTCACGGCTTCTAATGTTAACCGTAATGAAAATCTCTGCGGCTGGTTAGTCAGGATACCATATTAGAAATCTCAGGGTTAATCAGTTTGCAGAACTAAAGATCACGATGATTGAGATGTATGAAAACAAAACGCTGGTAAACTGTATTCATTGAAAGTGCATCGAGGTTTTAGATCAAGATGATCTAGAAGAATTTGTATTGACAGCTCACTGTTTTTATATTTTGGTCGAGTCATATTCAGACACGATCGAGTTCGCCATGTGTGGGGTTAAGTGAAAAGTCACGAAGCATTCATTGTACACGACGAAATTCATGCAATCAAATCGTATCTTCCACTACTCTTCCGTAGTTAGATGTTCTCATGGACAGTATTTGCTATATTGGAAAACAGAATTGAAAACCTTGTTTTTACTGCTTTACCTGACCAACTACAGCACAAATTTTTAGAGGTCAAGTTGAGAGTGTCTTAATTAATGGGAAGGTTATTTTGCATTTACACGTTCATTTATTCCTACAGATCAAGTTATTTAGGGCGAACTATTGCACACCTGACCGGTTGTATGACACTATCGCAAACGCCTTGGTATCAGACAGGTTAGCAATGAAGCAGCCGAAATTACTGCGCATACAACCAAATGAATAATTTCGGCTTCTCTGCACTATCAATAATTTGTTAAGAAAGGAGTTGAGAAGTGATGTAGTATCCACCGCGATTCGACAAAATAACCTACTACAGGAAATCGAAAACAACTTGTTAGAACCCCCAGGTTTTCATGGCTACGTAACAACAACACTGAAAAACATCGATGGCAGTGATGAGAATATTGATTAGTTGGCTGCCCTTTAAGAGTGTGAACCTCTCATGATTTATTTTCCATTCTTTAATCTTTTCGCAGCTTGGCCTAAATACATCTGGTACTCCATTTGGTTAGGTAAACGAGCGTGTTTTCCAGTCTGTCTTTTAATGCAATCACCGGGTGCGTTTGCTCGATTTTATATTACCTCATTCGTCAAATATTTTTCACATCTAGTTGGTTGTGTATTTCGGCGATCACCATACAAATCAACCGTTGTGTGTTTGTCAGTGTCGAAACTCGACAAAAAGTGCAGTCCTGTAATTTTGACATGCACCGTATGTTTGGAATGCAACAAAGCTGAGTAGTGTGTCTGCACTGCTGGTTGTTCACACACACAGTCTATGATGAGATACAACACACCTCGTTCGTCGTACTGTAGGAAAAATGTGTTGAATTCCCGGATTTTTCCGCGCGATACTTGCGTTTGCCAACACTCCCGCTGCAGTTAGGCAAATTTATTCATCGGCTGCACGAAAGTTCTATAATCCAGTGTCAATCTGCCCAATTCCCAGGTGATTTGTGTGCAACAAGAAGTGTGGTATCACTGTGAACTTGCAGAGTGAGCAGTAGCGTACAAAAGTAATCCGGCCGATTTCCTTGATCTAGAAATGCAGATAGAAAATTATTCCCATGCCCGTCTACTGAACGAGTGCATCTGAGCTGGCAGGACCTGTAATTGTGGTTATGGCGATTATTTTGTTTTACTTCTTTGTACTGAACGTGTAACTATACAACTTTCAGGACCGGGGGGTGGGTGGCCATTTGAAGGACTGTCGTACAGCAGAGTGAAGAAAGTCAAATGGCGGTGGTGGTAGAATTCGAACGCATCTTCCGGTGCGATAATTTGTTGCGATTTACCGCCTCACCACCAAATAAACTGGATTCCGAGAAATTAGAATAACGCAGTTTCTGAGGACCACAAATCATGAATGCTAACAGATAATGTTTGCATAAAAGTGGTACTGAAAAGACAGTTGAAATCCAGGTTGCCTATTAATTTTTGCCCAGTCACCACCAGTATTGACTTGGTCGTCTTAAATAGCCTGGTCTGGAGGGTTCATTTTTTGAAACGCTGGTGGGAAAAGCGTTGCCCCGTTTTCTGTTGAACTATGCATTGAATGAGAGGCTAAAGAACTTTCATCGGAATGTTGAATGGAAGGCAGTAGATAAAAACGCGACTGTGGGTGAGCGAGACAAGACGGTTTCGTAATATGTTCAGCGGAATTAGTAGCCTGTCGTTTTTATAAGCCAACTCCAACACAGATGGTTACTCAATGCGACTCTTGATGTTTCGTATCGTCTGATCGTTTTAGAAGGAATTAGCAGCCGAGGTTGGAGAACCAGAAAACATGTAAAACTGGCGGTTTATTCATCACATTTTGCGGCGATGGAGTCAAAGGCTCATATATAACCATGTAATAGTGATAGTCAATTGACCTGAATTTTATTGATTGTCTACTCGATTTTTGTCTCGATCCGCCCATATTTCAAAGTGTCGGTGGTGAGCTCTTGGAAACACCATATATTGACAATTACAGTGATTGGACATGTCAGGTCTCCGAGGGTGGCTTTTAACTAGCGTGTTATCAAAAATCAGTGGTCTGTCAATCTTGCCAGCAATGTTTTGACTTCAACGTCACAGCACATGATGATCGCAGTTGAAATGCAAAGAATCACGCCAGCTAGTTGCGTTGTTGACAACAAGATCGACATGTATTTATTAACTCAGGTTCATTGCATATAAACACCGCAATATACGTAACAAGCCAAGGTGAGAAGCGAGTCAGATAAAGAGAGAATGAATTGTCGTACTGACAGTTGTAGTAGTTCATTGATTTTTTTCCATTGGTTAAATACAATGAACCTTGAATGGTAAAGATCGCTAGAGGTCGAGGAAACTAATCAAACTCTGATTAGATATAATAAAGTGGAAACAAGAGGAAATTTTCTGATAAATCGCTTCAGGAATTTGCACATATATATTTCGATTAGTCAATAGGTTAATGCACAGACCTAAGCTCGAGTTGAATGAATGTGCGCGTGTGAAAAACATTCGGTTGACAACAAGGTATGTGGTCAGAATTGATGTATAGGAAAAAACGGTGTAAAGGTGAGTGAACGGGACACGATATGAAAGGTGTGGGCCAAGGATGAATTAAACGTAATAGAAATCCCTTACAGAAGCGGATACCCAGAGATGTTCATTCGACGATATCTAGAATCAAAATCAAATGATGTAAAAGCACTAATGGCTGGCAAGGGCTACAGGGAATTAGAAATGCTCGAACATTGGTTATCAAAGGCCATTGCCAACTGTTTTCTCGCGGTGCATTTTATGCTCTCATCGATGACTAAGCCCTTTGTTGTTCAACTAATCATATCGTGTTCAGTTCACTCACCGTTACACCGCTTTTTGCTTGCCTTTAATTCTGACCACATAGCTGTTGTCGATTGGCCCTTTTGCGTACGCTCATTCATTCAACTCCAGCTGAGGTCTGGTATTAATCTATTGATTATTCGATATATTTTCCTGAAACAATGTATCTGAAATATTTTAACTTGTCCAGCTTATTCTTATGCATCGATGGGATTATTTCGAGATCTGGTAATTCAGTCAATGCCACTCAAAAGGATAAATATAATTATTGAGCCCGGATTCATGTCATATCAGGAGTTTTCACACAGGTAATTAAAATGTTAAGCGACCTTGTCAGTTAGAATAATAGTGATCCTGAGAACACGACGTAAATAAACAGGCTCGTTTTCAAGCTAAAACGACTGGATAAATACAGCACAATTTATAATGAATCAAATGGGCGCGGTAGAGAATTTGGTTGTGTTAAATATGTTGAATTTAGCGTGTAAACGAGGTGTGAACTAAAAATCCAGAAGGCATTGCTGCGGTACCCTCAGAAGTATGAATCCATTGACCCGATTGAGGATAGAACAAGGGTCCTCACAGGTATAACCCATGTATACTGGCCACTCGGTTACCGGGCAGCTGATCAGACCACTTCTCGTTTTAAATTTACGCGATATAGAACAACCCATCTTTACGCGCTTGTTGGAGGCATCGAGTCATCGAGACGGATGACAATCGACTCCGTTACTCATATGAAATAAATAGCCAGATTGTGAAGGTTTCCAATCGAGTCATAAACCCGGCGGCCAGTGCTAAAATGAACGAGGTATGTGACCTGAGACAAGCTCGTAAAGATGGGATGTGCTATAGCATGTATATGAAAAATGAAAAACGGTCTGATCAGCTGCCCGGTGGCCGAGTAGGTATCATGTTGCGTTCTGCCCATGAGGTCGAGGGTTCGACTCCCAGGTGGGTCGATGGATTCGCACTGCTGATGAGACCCAACTAGGTCGAAATAGCGGTCCAGTGCCTCCTAGCTTTTCAGTTCTGGCTTCGTTTGTCATATACACGACGAACTTCCCCTTTGATATAGTACTTTGTAAACTAGGTGATGAATTTTTTCGGCCTTAGCATAGTGCGGTTTAATTGCATATTTCACATGAAAAAGAAGTTCTGCTAATGTAGGGCCCTCAGCATCGTGAAAAATCGACTGGGTATTACAAATATGGTCCATGGGCTAGAGGCCAATTTCGTGAACACTTATCATCTTTTGCCACTCCTTTGCACTAAGGAGATATTTCCTTCATAGAACAGAGCAAAAGCACTGAAAATATAGAAAATATGTTTTGTGGTGTATTTCTAAATCATACAAGTAGATTTTTACGCGCACTAAACAAATGTAAGTAAAAAAGTTTGGGGCGCATAGGCGCTCACCGCCCAGGTCACCTACACATTACAAGGAGTAGATTTGCTTTATTGGTATTGTAGCTTCTGTGAAACCCTTTGATTTTTGAAAGCTCGCGTTATGGCCTAAAATTGTTGGAGAATGTTCGTCTTTTGGTAACTTTTGTCGCGTAGTTCTAAAGGGTGCTCGAGATTGTCTGTCAGAGTTCTTGATGGAAGCCAAAAGTTCCATTGAGTTGGATGACTTTACCACTCGCTTTATTCCATCACGCTTCCGAGTGCCTGACCTTGATCTTTTCGTCATGGTCTCACCAACTTCCACACATTCAAGGGCATCGAGATTATTCTTTTTACTCGTACGATTTACCCCGTGATTTACAGATCGATTGAGCCGAGTCGATCCTCTATTGATTTCAGGCAGCAGGTTTGTCCCATCTTGTCGGAGGAAGCAATTCACATGTGACGATGGTGAGCCAAATCGTCGATCACATCGAATAAAATGGCGAAATTGACGCCAATGAACAATCAGCTGCCTCCGCAACACCGTCAAATTATGAATCATGATGGCAGTACGGACAATTATGTGAACACAGCCCAAATAGCGCACCAGAGCCTCCACAGCCTCCAGTGGTACTTCGTAACGCCGTAGTTGAGTCACACGACGAATCATATTTCGGATGGCAACCAAATTGGGATGATCCGGTTGTGTATCGTAACCAAAAAACTGCGAACCGACCCGGTTCACATGAAAATCTGCGGGAAGACATATAAAGGTTAGTTTTTGTCAGGACTCGATAAATGAAGCAGCGATAATTTGATAAATAAAAAGTAGCACATATAAAACTGCTTCATAAGTAATATCATGCATATATTTTTTATCCATTGGGCCCTGAATCTCTCTAAATATCTTGTTTTAACAAATCGGAACCAAATGGTGTTAGGAGTTTATCAAAAAATCGATGCGCCGTGTGGTTTATTGTGAAGGTTATAATGTTAATAACAGAACGATGTCGGTGGCGAATTATATTCACCGACGGCCGGTTTTACAACCTGTCTTCGAAAAGGTTTTTGTATTTGTATTTGTAACTTTTGTAGGCATATATGCTTACATTTCAGTTAAAAATGTACATTGTTCGTCACGCAGAATGAAGTAAAAATAATCAAAACAAAAGTTAAAGAAGGTCGGTGATATACGTATCATGTACAAAGCATTTGACATAGTTCATTTGAGACCTGTTCCTTTTTGGTGAGTAGTCGGGCCAGGTAGGGTACAGGGGAATTTTTATAAATGTTAATGCGAGAGGGTAGCTGTCGAAATGAGGAGCGTGTGGACGGATGGGAACGACAAGACGATAGATCAGGGTGTAGTGGATGAAGAGGGTCGTATAGAATCTTGTAAGCAAATTTAAAACAAGAGTTGATGTGACTATCAATTAGATCTGTGATTAATAAATCAATTGGGATTAGTGATGCACGACTGATTATCACCAAACCGCGGCGAATTGTTTTGAAGTCGTGTTTTAAAACACCGGGAAACACTACAGAAGAGCAATAAAGTAGAATGAGTAAAACGCATTGATGAAGGAAAGATGACAGGACTGATTGTGGGGTTCGGAATTGCCTGAGTTTGCGTAACTGAAAAGATAGGCGTCCCAGTTTTCCCACACAGTTGTAAATATGTGTAGACCAACGAAGATTGCTGTTGATGGTGACACCAAGATACTTCACTGAGGTCATTCTAGATACAGGTTTATAGTTAAGAATAGCAGAGTCCGTTGGAGACGAGGAGCGGGAAATACTGAAAATACACTCTACGCACTTAGATATGTAAAGAATGAGATCAGACTCGTCAGAAAACTTTTGGATGTGAGATAGGTGTTCAGTAAAAGAATGAAAGTCCGAGGGAGATGAAATTGTCTGAGACAAAACTACATCATC